TTATTGTAGCAAGAAGCACTCTTTTTCTGTACTCCATTTTTTTCCTCTTCTTCTACAGACTGAAAGAAAGCACTGCAGGATCACATGTGGATAGAAAAAAGTTCTTTAACACTTCACATGGTCCAGAAACTTTGATGTGGAAAAAATATATAAGTAGAAGACTAAAAAAAAACTAAAAGGCACTTACCAGAAGCAAGGAGAGTAAACTTGTGTTAGCAACTCACAGCAAAGGGTCCATCAAACAGTCGGGATGCCCAATAGGGTCTGGAGAAGTGAAGCAAGTTATCTTACCATAGAACTTCTTAGTCTTTCCTGTGGAAGGAAGTAACATGGCACCGGGGGATTTGTTTTCCACTGATTTTTCCTGTTATTTGTCCTTCTGGAGCTACTGAGTTTCTGTAACCTTGTTTAGATTTGTCAAGTAAGGCCTACATAACTTAGCACTTTTAAGCCCAACCAAAGCACCAAATTGCCTTTACATCCCTGTTCTCACATTATTTCAGTATAACTGATGGGACCAAATACCACAGTCCTTGTTCCATGCAGATTTTATCTAAAGTCAACAAGAGACTCCAGCAGCCCTAGTTGGACAAATGAGGGCATATTAAAGTTACAGGAAGGAAACTGTATGAAAACAAGCTGTTGTATAACAGAACTGCTGTCCACACTGGGGTGCACCTTAACTTTATGTACGTAATGTAGGAAGGAGTAAGAGGGGCACATTAAAAAAAATTGTGTTCATTTTGAGATTAAATTTGAAATGGGCAGATTACACTTATTGTTTCAATTCAAACAACTGACACAATTCCTATACCCTCAACAAATTTCCTTGTGTAGATCAGTTAGTCAAACAACTTGATCAGCTGTGTTATTGTGTATTCTGATACAACATGCATCGTCCTTATTGCACAAGGGTGTAAACATCAGTATTCTTGCATCTGTTCATTGCACAATTTCCTGGATGCCCTTATACTCATTACCACACTGTGTTTACGCGGTAAAAGAGCAATAACTTCCTTGTTACTAAAACTGATTCTGAAGTATGATTTCACTAACTCATTTTGTATAATAGATTACTTTTTTGAGTAATGACCCCAACACTGAATACAACCTTTGCCATTGCCTGCCCTCTTTGCTCTACACCTAGATTCCCAGTACTCCTGTCTACTTTCTTCATCTCCCTCACTATCCCGCTTTTTCTTTGTTAACCTTTGTTCTTTGAATATTTTTCTTTGTAGAGCACCAAACATCTTGCTGCCAGTTTCCCTCAGCCCTGCAGCTGTACCTTCCCAGTCATCTGCTAACTCTTCGCTACTCCTCAGAGGCTGTCGCAACTCCTTCATGAACTCTGTGTGACATTCTTACTTCCTCAACATTCACCATTTAATCCTTGGCTCAGCCTTCACTTGTTTCCATTTCTTGATTTCTAAAGCCATGTGACAGCCTACCATCCACAGCCTAGCCACATTCTCCCCCAACACCACCTTGCAGTCTCCTCTGCCTTTCAGGTTGCACCTTCTGCAACAGATATATGGTGCTATGCATTTACTGCCTTCCTGATTTCTTTTTTTTAAAACCAACGAGATTCTGTTTTTGGTATTGGGTTTGCATACTGTTTTCTTCCCATCTACTGGAGAGAGAGAGACAGAGAGAGAGACAGAGAGAGACAGAGAGACAGAGAGACAGAGAGAGAGAGAGACAGAGACAGACAGAGACAGAGAGAGAGGAAGTGCAGTTGCAAAGGTCTTAAGCAAACCCTCAAACCGTTATAAAACAGAAAGTTGACACAGTGATTTAGTGAAATATGTTTAAACAGCCACACTACAGTCATGACCAGGGCTGTGGTCCACCCCGCAGAGAAGAAGACAGGACAAACACATCCTGCAGTGTTAAATGAAAAAGAATGAGGTTTGGCTTCCTGCCAGGCTCAGGAAGTCTCACAATATCCGAGCATTGTCTTTTATTCAGTTCAGCAGCTTCTTTGTTGCATGTTTTTCAATGACCGCCACAGAAATGTTCACAACCTGCCCAAGAATCAAACATGCACAGGTTTAGTGTTAGCCTAGGTTCTCTCGGTTAAGTGATGTCTGGCTGGGTGGTTGGCATCAATCGTAGTTTAATTAGCAAGTAATTAATTATCAAAAAAAGCAAGAATGACCCTACCAATTAATCCAGATTGTCTAATAAATCCTCAGGAAAAAAAGCTATGGCATGTACAATTTTCTGTCAATATTACTATCTTAATTAGGGATGGAAATTGAGAACCAGTTCTTCTAGAAAACTGGTTCCCAGTAGTCCAATTCCTTGGAATTGTTCACCTGCCTATCGATCAGGCTTATTGGTTCTTGCGCTTGCACTACAATCAACCGATATCAGTTCACGTGTCAGAGGAAGAAAAAAGTAACACAGTCTACAGTGTGGACACGGACATTTACTTTATTTTTATTGCACAAAAAGACAAGATAAATGGCAAAGTGCAAAACTGCATCCAGGACAGAAATAACCGCATTATGCTGCTGACACTAACTTCAGTACTTTGCAAGCATCAGCCAAGATAGCATGCTAATGCTAAGCTGGCCAAGAACCCAGAGTGAAAGCTGAGTGAATGTCGACCCCAGCAGCCAGACCCTGAACCTTGACAGGTAACAAGAAGATGAGCAGTTAAGCTGCAGCTTCACTTTCTACCTGTTTATGTTTCTAATCAGAATCACTGTGGCCCTTTTTGGTGTTGGTCTTCTTTTTCTTTTTGTGTGTGGTCAGCTTTGTATTCTGCTAAGAGAAAGATGTTAGAGACGTGTGTCCTCATTAGGGATTTGTGTTGGTGTGTGGGCCCTTAGCCTCAGGTTATATTGTTAAATGGTGATTATGTGTCAGTGGGTTTCAGCTGTTTTACAGAGTAACAGGAAAGTAACGTAATGAGTAGTAAAATTAATTACTTTTTCCTGGTAGTAATTAAGTGACGTACAGCGTTAGTTTTGAGATAAGTGTTTGTGTAATATGTGCAGTAATTACTTTTTTGAGTAACACTGATCACAGCAAAGTGAGGAAATACCTCAACAAACATGCACAAATATCTGACCCACAGCAACAATTAATTTGCATGAATGTAATTTAAGTTTATAAGTCTGAATATTTGTAACAAATTATACAGACTTATTATTTTTAGTTATTCTGTTTAGTAACATGAACGAAGTGGGCTTATTTGTGTAAACAAACAAAATGATCACGTGAGAAGTTTCAGTTTTGTAAAGTCTCCAGTGAAAGCGAATTTATTAACACAGGATATATATGGAACTTTAACAATGGCAGTTCATTCATACACTGGGACACACGAAAAACAAATTCAGTTTGAATAAAATGTTATTTATATGGCACCAAGCCACAGCACGTTGCTTTATATTGTAAGAAAAATCCCTACAATAATACCAAGTAATAAAAACTAAACAAAACCAAAAACCTAAGTATGCCCATGATTCAGTAGCTTGTGCAAACACCTTTAGCAGTAGTAGCTTGATATAATCATTCCCTGTATGACTTTGTCAGTCTGTCACATCATTGTGGAGAAATTTTGGAAGTTGCTTCAGTTTCTTGAGGTTTGCAAACATTTGTTCATGCACAGCTCTGTTAACAGCTCAGCACTTCAGGTAGATTGTGGTCTGGACTTTGACTGGTCTCAATGCAACACCTTCATTCCTTTCTTACTCAACCATTATGTTGCAGATTTGCTGCTGTGCTTGAGATCATTGTCCTGTTGCATGAGCAAGTTTGAGTCAAACTTAAGTTTGACTCAAACTTGCTCATGTCAGGCAGATGTCAGGCAGATGGCCACACGTTTGACTCTAGAATATTTTAGTATACCGATGAGTTCACGGTCCACTCAGTGACTGCAAGGTTCCCAGGTCCTGTGACTACAAAACAACCCAAAGCAGCTTTACAAATCTAAGCTGTGCTTCATGATGTTTTTAGACAGAAGAAGCAAAACCTTCAAACAAGTCATACCTGTTCAGAGTTTTTCTAATTGTCCTTAAGTTTAATACAGTGGGACCCTGACTTGCGAATACCCCGTTTCACGAAAAATTCAAGTTACGAAGGCACTGAACGGCAATATTTTTGCCTGTGTTACGGCAAAATGCCCGAGTAACAAAATCCACTGGCTCTGGTTGGCTGAGCCTACAATGCCCACAATGCCTTCCGAATCATGTGACAACCCCTTGGCTTCCGTACTTGCGCTTCGCTGTTCCACTTGAACGACGTATTGTTGTTCTAGTTGTTCGACTTACGAAAATTTTCGACTTACGAAAGACTCTCGGGAACGAATTAATTTCGTAAGTCGGGGTTCCACTCAGTTAACATTTGACATGTTAACTGAGGCCTGTAGAGTCTAAAATGCAACTCTTTGGGCTTTTTGTGATTTTACTGGGAAGACCAGACATGGAAAGATTATAGAGTTAACACAAAGCTGAATGCTCCAGTGCCAAAATATGTTTTATAGAGATGGCAGTACCTGGATGCCACTTACCCTAATCAGTAAGGGCGTATTTAGTTTAGTCCTGTGAATCATACATTAAAGTTTTCCTGAAAGTCATTTATGTTGTAATATACATATATTATATATAATATACAATCATTTTCCAGAATTGCATTAAAGAATTATTGTATTTCCACTGTTGAATACTTGGAGGTACACCAGAAGCAACTGTACCAAACCTTTATTCTGACCTTATTGACACATATTGTCTTTTTTCATTCCCATCACTCATTTCCTATAATCCTTTTAAAGGCATGCAAACCCTAACAAGAAATAATAAACACATTCTGTATATATAGTTCAAGTATGCTGTACATTTTTCTAGCGTGCATAAAGAAAATAAGAACTGAGTTTATAATTCATAATATATGACAGAAGCAGAAAACTGTATTTGACTATATTTTGACATAATATTGCAATACCTTATTCACCACAATCTGCCAAATAAAGACCTAAAAAAAAGTGTATGAATAATCAAAGCAATATTGCAGATTATAAAACCCAGAAAACTCTGAATGATAGCTGTTTTGCTAAAAAGCTAAAGAAACAGAAGATAAGGCTGCAAGCACTGATACAAGCCACAGGGTGGCGACAACAGCTGGAGGAGACCTGAAGACATGGAAACAAAGCATATTATTATTATTATTGTTGTTATTGTTATTGTTATTGTTATTGTTATTATTACAAAAATAATAATTAATAATAATAGTTTACCTGTCTCTCTCTGCAACAGCTGTGGTAGTCTCCTGACCTACTGACATCCTGAATTGATAAAGGAGAGAAAATACTTTAAGTAAAATCTACTGACACATGTGGTTTTATTCAAACCACACTCAACCCCAGTTGAGATGTGGAGAGCAATCCTCACATTTTAAAATCCTCTTTTTGCTACTTTTCACATCACTTAATTTTACATCATGCTTTCCAGAGTTTATAAAAGCTTTGATAAGCTGAGTATTCCCCAGTTATTACTGTGTACTTACAGCAATAACAACCACTAAGTTATAACAGAGTAACAGACTGTTTCAGACACCAATATTTCCCTCTTTTGATTTATGGGGCTTAAGTATTTTAGTATATGCAACTAGAACTTTTTTTTTTCAAACACATAAAAAACATATTTATATATTTAACATCACACTGAAAGATACATTTGTAGTTCCAAGTTTAATTTCTGTAGAACTAATAAAAAATATTTCACTTTACTTGAGAGAATATGAATCTTACCGTGAAAAGATGTAACAGTTGTGTGAGCTTTTCAGTCCTGACTGTTTCAAATCAATCTCAAGGTATTCGTCATCATCCAATGTAGTTTTTGTTTCCACTTGTTCCACGGTGAAAACTTCTGCTGGAGATAAGAGTATTTCATCCTGTTCTTGACCGCACACATAGTCTTTCAGGTTGACAAAGAAGCAAGAAGTGAGATGCAAAATAGTATTCTCATTGACATCTTCAAGTCTCTTTAGCTCTTCATAGTTTGAATGAGCTAAGGTGAAACTTGGAAATCTCACTGTGGAGCCTTTCTGTGGTTGGTTTTGACCATCTTGAAAAACATAAAAGTTCTTGCACTCCTTTGGCTTCAGCAGCCTCATGGAGTCCATCAGCAGGAAATGAAGAGACTTGAAGTTGAAGTGGTTTTCATAGATGCTAACATTTCCACCCATTGTCTCCATTGCTTTGTTCAGTGTTTGTATGAATGATTTATCCGCTTTAAGATAGATTGAAAGTGCAGCACTATGCTCTTTTCTTCCTCCTGGAATCTGCTTTGAACACTTGATACTTTTATTCCACGCTTTCTGAAATCCTTCACTGTTATTTAGTTCTTGTTTTAACACATCTGACTCGATGAACTTCTTCATGGCCTCTTCACGGCATCCATAGTACAGATCATCTACAACATTTGTGGTCTTTTGGACATCCAGTAGTCTTGTTTCCTGTGCAGTCACCTAAGTGATATATCACATTTAAAAAGACATTTAAAAAGGTTAAAAAAATTATACATTTAAAAATGTATTTTTAAATGTATAATTTTTTTAACCTTCTAATATTTGTTTAAATCACAATTCTTACTTTGTAACAGACAGCTGTAAAAATTATTGCAGCAAGAAGCATTTTTCTTTTCTGCTCCATTTTTTTTTGCCTCTTCTTCTACGACTGCAAGAAACCACTGCAGGATCAAATGCGGATAGAAAAAAGTTCTGTAACACTTTACACAGTCCAGAAACATGGAACTGACAAGATGTGAATGATCAATTATTTGTTTAGTTTTCTTTTGAATATGGCAACTTCAAAATGTTAATGTTAAAAAAGGCTGAAAGGCACATACCTGAAACAAGGAGAGTAAACTTGTCTTAGCACCTCAAAAAAAGGTCCATCAAACTGCAGGGAAGCCACAAGCACAGCAGGCTCCGGGAAATGTGGAAAATATATATTATGCAGCAGTAAGTGTCAAAGTAATCCAGAAGTTAATACATGTGCAAATCATAGGGTATTAAAATAAGTTGTCTGCTTGTAACTGCATACGGTAAAGTTGGAACAGGATGTAAAACTCATGATCATGGGCCTCATAACGAGAGCAACAGGAAACAGCTCAGGGCAAAAGAGCGTTGAGACTGTAAGTGAGGTGTAAACATTACTGCCTTAGAGGGGGATGAAGTTAACTGTCACTGTTGCATAATAACTTACTTTGCTTATGCAGACAGTGCATGTTCAGCCCTTTAAAATAGTGAAGCCTGTGTGCTTCCTCTTTGAGATCTACCGGACTGCGCTTTGGGTGGTGTCGTGTGGATCTACCACATATATGTGCTTAATAAATAATTGTTGTTGACCGGACCTGCTCTGAGTATTTGTTGTTTATTCTCAGCCCATCATAAAAGAATCGGGACAGAAATGAAATACATTATCTTACTATGCATCTTACTATGCAGTTCTTTAGTCTTTCCTGTGGAAGGAAGTAACTTCTCACTGGAATACCTGATATCCAGTCATCCTGCTTTATCCACTGAGTTCCTGTAACCTTGTTCAGATTTGTTTTATAACCAGAGAAATCCCCACAGCGCTGTGAAAAAGTATCTTCCCTTTCCTGAGTTTTTCTTCTGTGTGTGTGTGTGTGTGTGTGTGTGTCTTTTTCTCACACTTACATGTTTCAGATCATCAAATAACTTTTAACATTAGTGAAAGACAACTTGAAAAAATATAAATTCTGTTTTCAAGGATTCAAGGAAGCTTTATTGTCATTCTCATCTCATCTCTCATCGCATGTTTACATGAAATGGAACGAAATTACATACCCACAGTCCCGGTTTTCCATAAAAACAACAGAACGACAGGTAATAAAATAGTACCAAATAGTAATAGAATAATACAAATAAGTAAAGTGCAACAACCTGAGTAACAGTATGAAGTATAGATGTAGAAGTGTAGGTATTTTAGCAGCAAAGTATCAGTAGTGATTACACCACAGTAGCAGTTTCTTGTCCATTATGTATTGAGAAGTCTCACAGCTTCTGGAATGAAGCCGTTTCTCAGTCTGGTGGTTTTGCATTTAATGGTGGTTTTGTTTTGAAACAATGATTCCATATAAAAGAAAAGTTATCCAACCTACTGTTTTAAAAAAGGTTATTGCTCCCTAAAGCTAATAACTGGTTGTGACACCCCTGGCAGCAAGAACTGCAAACAAGCATTTGGCAATGAGGCTTTCACATCTTTATGGATGAATTTTATCCCACTCTTTTTTGCAAAATTGTTTTAATTCAGTCACATTTGAGAATTTCAAAGCATGAACAGACTTTTTAGGACGTTCCAAAGTGTCTCGGGTTATTTCAAGTTCAGATATTGACTTGGCCACTCCAAACCCTGTTTTGTTGAGCCATTCAGAGGTGGACTTGCTAGTATGTTTCCAATCATTGCACTGCTGCATAACCTGAGCTCTTGAACTTCAGGGCATAAACTGATGGCCGGTCATGCTTCTTCAGAATTTTTTGGTAGAGAGCAGAATTCATCCATCCATCAAGTCGTGCAGGTCCTGCATCCTGACACAAGGATGGATGAATCCATTGTTTTATATCCAATTCTGACCCTAGCATCCAAATGTTGCACCAGAAATCGAGATTTGTTAGAGCAGGCAATGTTTTTCAATTCAATTCAATTTTATACAGCGCCGACTCACAACAACAGCCCCCTCAAGATGATTTATATTGTAAGTTAGACCCTACAATAATACATACAGACAAAATCCCAATAATCATATGACCCCTATGATTAAGCACTTTGGCGACAGTGGGAAGGAAAAACTCCCTGTTAACAGGAAGAAACCTCCAGCAGAACCAGTCTCAGGGAGGGGCGGCCACCTACCGCGACTGGATGGGGTCAGAGAAGGAAGACAGGACAAAGCCATGCTGTGGAATAGAGCCAGAGATTGTAAAATACTACCCAATCTACTTATTGTTGCCTTCCTATCAGCTGGAGACAGGCTGGCTATTCTCGTCTGACCTCAAAACACTTTCATTTAGAGAACCGCTGCTCACTGGGTATCACAGTTTTGTTCAGGAAAATCCCAGCAGACCAGCACGATCTGCAATATTCAGACCACGTTCAGTCACTTAGACTTTATCAGGTTGTTTTCACTATGACTACATATCTAAATGCTTTGAGTTGGTGCCATGTGATTGGATGATTAGACATTTGTGTTAACTACCTAAGTATATCTAATAAAGTGGCCATAATGGCTTTGTTTGCCTTATGGTGATGGATATATCACACCCAGTATTTCCCACCACAAACAACGCTTACCTTTTATAGAGAAGACTACATGTTTTTGTGCACTTAAGTGCAGCCTCACCCAAGGCCACTTCAGAAGAACCTACAGCCATGTTTTTGGACACAGACAAGCCTCGGCAGCAGATCCCAACCCTTCCAACCACTGTACCACCACAGCAGCCAGGCGGACTGGTATCTTTTCATACAAAGACAAGACAAAGGGGATTTTTGAAAATTCCAAAATTATTTGGTTTTTATTTGAATGTGTATAAAAGTAAATCAAACTCATAGTGCATGTAATGTAATGTAAAAGAATAAAAGCAGCAATCCCGCAGTAATTTAAAAACACAATAATTCCCTGATCTGAGTTTTGAACAACAAAGAAAAAAAAAATCTGCTTTCAGTGGCTTTCACTTCATTCCCTTTTTGAAGAGGAAAAAAAGTCTGTGAATTTGGAATCATGTGGAATCAGTGAGGTAGAGAAACCCGAAGTTAATGTGCTGATAAAAAACAGGCTAAAATAATTCAGCAAAATGCACAAAAACACACATCATTGATATCATTTCCCAAATTTAACCACTTTTCATAGTTTAAAAAAAGAAAGATTGTTGAGGTGACCCAACAAGTGCTAAATCAATGAGTCTAAATGTGCAAATAGATCCCTTTTGTGCAGCGGGGAGTTTTCTTATCATCACAGTAAATCCTCTTTAACAAACAGCCTCCTGTGCTGTTTGTAGTCAGACTGGACTGTTGCATTGAGGATGGGGGTGTTGGTGAACTCCACAGTGCACGCTTTAGAGCCGCAGAGAGCCCCTTCAAGCTCCAGGACGGTCACATTGTTTGGTGCAGCTGTACTGAGGATGTTAGCAGGGACAAAAAGTGTCATCTGAGGCCCTCGAGTCGGCCAGTAACGTCCTACATTAAAGCCGTTTATCCAGATCTGTCCCTGAAAAACACAAAATCATATAGACAAGCTACTTAGCCCATTTTTCATCAAAATAAAATTAAATAATTAACAAAAATTATATCTTGTGTATCTATCTAGATGTCAAAGGTCTAACACACCAGCTAGTCCTAAAAAAATTGTACACATTAATTTCATTTACCAGGATGCAACTAAAAATGAATATTCAGTCTGTATACTGTCACATAAACACATGTACTTTGAGGTCAAACTGTCACCTTCTATCCAGCAGACCCTCTAAAACCAAAAAATATGAAATGCATAAGAACATTCATCAGAGAAAAGCAAAACCTGTCTTTTGACAAGTTAGCACCAGTGCGTGCTATAAAACATGTCACATGCCTTTCTCCAACTGCTCAGCTTGATGTAGGTGTCCTGAGGGAGGTCTGGGATGCCGTCGGGTATCACGAAGCTTCCCCCATAGAAAGCTGGAGGGGAGAGATCAGCTGGCTGAGGTGGATCAAAAAGTGCGGGCTCTTTTTCTCCGAGGAGGCCCTTCATGACTGCTTCATCAATACTGAGACTGTACATGGTCCAGTCGGTGAGAAGGTCCGCCCCCAGGGTCAGATTAGACACCAAGCCCTGTGATAAGAGAAGAGTAGATCTGAGGAAGAGCTCATGGGACTTTTTTTAAACAGCTAACAATAATAATAATGATAATAGATAAACAGCAAATAGTTTTGTTTGTGTGTCAATTATTATTTTTTATTATCTGACCTCTGATTGATGAAACTCTGAAGAACCAAAAAAAAAACCCTACATGAACCTCTGGACAATTTTTACAAAAGTGACCAAATTCCGCATGACCGTAGACCTGGGATAGTTACACAAACACTAAAATGTCCAAAGGACAAACATCAGCACGACATGTTGTAGCACAGAAACAAACCTTAAAATCGTTGATCTGTTTTCCGTAGTTTACTCGGCCCATGTTCTCCACCAGTATGTCCACCTGACTTCGAGCCTTCCCGGTTACATTGATGCTTAAGACTTTATCCCTTTCAAGAATTCCTACAGCCATCTTGAGAAGAAATAAGAAAAAATCTGTAAAAAAATCCAGATTATAGCAGAAATAATCACATTTTTTTGATCAGTGCAAAGCAGTTTTTGGGGAAAAAGTGGAGATTATATCAAGTTTAAAAGCTTAACCTGTTCTGTTTACTAATCTATCTTATTATACTACCTGTATTTTTAGACTTAAACGAAAATGTAAGAAAGATTAAGAACCACGAGGAGGTAACGGAAATGGCACTTTTAAAATATTATTTTCAAAATAATGATTCACAAAAAACCCCACACCAAGTGTCACATCTGAAAAAGACTTTAAAGGAAATTTGAGGGAAATCTAAACATCTACAGCTCCTTTTTCTTTTCTTTTAATTTCAGTTCTTTTGAGATGAAGGAAGAAGAATCCAGATGCAAAAAAAAAATAAAAGAAATAAAACCTACTCAGTGAAAAAGGAGAGAATGATTTCAAGGTCTCTGTGAATGGTGGTCTCTCACTGATCAGTGCTCTTTGATCAGTAGTTGTTGATCAATGGTCATGACAATTTGCATATTAATGATCAAGAAACTGACCTCACAGCCCATCGTTCATTCAGTGGGCTAGTTTCAGTTGTTGTGCATTGTGTACTGTTTATAAGGTTGGGGAAACCTGCAGTCAGCTGAGACCGAAAAAACTAAATGTTTTTCCCATCAAAAACGCTACATCTAGATGAACAGAATCAACCTTTTGGGGTCTCTACTTGTACTGAACAATAATTGAAGGGAAGTGGTTTTTATGGGTTTCTTCTGCTGGCAGAAAACTCTAAAACTACGACACCAGAATCATGCAAAACTGATCAGTTTGTTCAAATGTTGCCAACTTCATGCCAAACTTCTTATATAGTGGCTTTCTGCTCAGTTAAGGTAGAACTAATAAAGACAAAATGACTTTATTAGTTCAACCTTAATTGTGGAATATCTCTTTTTTATTTATCCTGCTGTTGTTTGGCAGTAAAGTGAGCCGTCCTTGTCGTGTCATTGTATGCGGTTGTACTTTGTGCTTATTGCAGATCAGTTCTTTTCAGTTTTTCATTTCTGTTTTCATCTTTTGTAACATATCCAGCTGCATCTTTAATGATTTTATTATGATTTTTCTTGTTTTATCCACAGCGGTTACTGCAAAAAAAAATTATGGGTTTTGATGCAAAAGACATCGAAGTTTGTTAATGAATAAATAAGTGACTTACTAAACATGAACACAGGAGCCTAATCAAAAAAAACAAGACAACAACTTAATGAAAGCAAAAGTTGTGTAAGTTGAATGATGCATACGTTTGGCTTCCACCGAAATATTTAAGAACAACAGCTAGTCTAAACTTGAACTGACTGAGCGAACTGTGATAAAGTCAGGCTTCATATGAAGAAGAACCTCCACCTAACATCTGATACTTACCCCGTCCACTGACACGTATGCTCTGTCATGGACCCCATTCAGTGGAGATGACAGTGGAGTTGGTGTGGTGCAGTCCATGGGCAGGATGGTCCTATAGAGCATAAAACCAAAAGCCTAGAGGAGCATAAGAGACTCGTTAATGACAGTACAAAGTTATTATTGCTGATAAAACGGGAAAAACGGAATAATTACTGGTACCTGATTCAAGTTGATGAAAGTCTGAGGATGGATGCTTTTGACAGGGCCAGAGAGGGACAGTACGTCTAGGGCATCCGACACGGTCTGGAGCTGCAGGTGGCACAAGCTCAAACTTTACTCTTTAATTTTCATCAGTCCATAAGCTTCATTATCCATTTTTTAATAAGGCAATCTGAAAATCATTATTAAAGTGCTTAAAAAGTAGCTGTTTTAATGACTTTATTAAAGGTGATGAGTATCACCCACCTTCTTCATTGTTACGGCACCATACGCATACTTTGGAGTTGTTGGTGGTATCGGCCCTTCTGGTACCTTACTGTACTGTTGGAAAAATGCAAGTTTGTCAGAATGGCTTATACAAGAAAACCATACTCAAAAAAACAATGAATTACTCATTGTAACTACAGTTAGCGTATGCTAATGAAATGCTGCCACAGTGTTTTATTATCTTCACAGATATTAGACACTGTAAAAGTAGAAGCTTACGCTTGTTCGTACCATTTTGATCACCTCTCGGATGGCAAAATATTTCTCTGTGAGGTCTCCGGCTTCTGTGAGCGGAGCATCGTAGTCATAGCTTGTAGGCTGTGCAGCGTATGGCATATTAGCCCCTGAGGGTATTAAGTGACAGTCAGACAAATGGCAGTGTTTTCATCAGAAGTCATGTGAAACAATCATCACCTCATCAGATCAGTTTGTCAAAGTGGACTCACCATTCCAGTATCCAAAGTTGGTTCCTCCTATGAACATGTACCTGTGTGAGGAGGAAGGAAGTGAGTATATAAACTAAAATATGCACCTGCTGTATTTGCAAATGTAGAGCAATTAGCTAGTATCCAATTATTTTACATAGCAATGTGTATATTCTTACAATGATTTAGCTCATTTCAATCACTGTTTGCCATAGTTTCACCTTTTTTTCTCAAGATGGAAATGTTCAAGTTTGGATTTAAGATCAGACTCATTATTAATCACACACTACACAGAGTAATAATGTTTTACAGATCTGCTTCTTTTCACCTGCTCCCTGTAGGTGTCACCTAAGAAGCTCATATGCCTCTTTGTTACTGTTATTCACAACTGTGTTGTCAAAGGAGATGTCTTTTTTTTTTATTGTAGAAGAAACATTTGGCTGAAACTTTTTGATCACACCACCCTGACACACTGGAAATGTAGAATGGTGTATAAACACAAGAGAATGAAAAAGGTAAATGAAGGAGAAATGCTCAGTGCATTATGGGATGGGGTGGTAGATAGGTACCAAAGATTTTTGTCACTTAAGCCTGTTGCAAGGTTGTTGCTAGGAACGTCTAATTTAATGTTTGTGTGGCAGTTGTAAAATTAAAACGATACAATGCCAGTGCATAAATCCTAGAAATAGGTCATTTTAGCATGTTGCTAAGTGGCTGCTAAGCAACATGATGCTGCCATATTGTCTGATAGATAAGAACCTTCAGGGGCCTATCATTTACCTGTGCACCATGTTTGGCCAATCACTGTATTAGGTGGCAGTTGTAGCAGTGGATGGATCCCTGGAGGCATCACTTTACCAATACATTTCTAGCTTTAGATGATACAACCCTTCACTGTCTCTAACAATCAGTCTCTGAGATCCATAAACTCACAAGTTGACGTTTGCTCCCATGAGCAGCATCTCGCTGAGGACCTTAGCCACTCGAGTGGGCGACACGACCGAGTGATGTGATCCCCAGTGGTCCAGCCATCCAGTGTAAAATTCAGAGTTCACCTGTGAACGAAACAACACCGTGAGCACCTAAAGAGAAAACGTACCATGCTGTGAGAACATTGTGAGGGCAACCCTTACCAAAGGCCCGTGAGGTTGAACTTGTCGCTGTGCTTTAAAGGCAGCAGTAACATTAGCACCTAGCAAAAGGAAGAGACAATAATAATCATGCATTTGTTTTTGCTACTTCCCTGTGAATGACTAAGGAAATGTGACAAGGAGTCAGTGCAGAAAAAAACAAGAAGTTTTCAGCTTAGAGTGTTCACCTCACTCTGCATTTTACCGTTGAGAGATACCTACCCGGCCCAAAATCCACAGTGGCATAGAGGTCTTGTATTGAGCCACACTTGAGGTAGCCCAGCCCAGCCCCATCTGTAGTGAACAGCACCACCTCATCACCCAGGTAAGAGCGGAACAGCTTGGACAGGTGACGCATGTAGTTGTAGTCACAGGCAAAGTAACTGCCGTATTCATTCTCCACCTATCAAACAGGTATGTAATGATGATGTAAAACATAACAAGAGGAGCTAAAGCAGGTACAAATCCAAAGACCAGGAAAGTCCTGGACTCACCTGAACAGTGATGATCGGACCACCATTCTGATAGAGATACGGCTTTATCATAGGCAGCAACTTCCCCATCCATTTATCCACTGCTGCGATGTAGTCTGGAATACACAAATGACTCTGTTGCGAATCGTGCTGTATATACAATTTGTACTGGTTACATTACCATTTGCTTTTGTTTCTCACCTGAATCTGTAGAGCGCAGTACGATGTCTTTCTTTTTGAGAAGCCAGGCAGGCAGACCACCCTGGTTGGCAGAAATACACAAAAATAGATAACATGAAATTTTAAATACACCATAAAGTCCAGTGAAACTTAAACAGCAGAAATATAACTTGCAATTCATACTAATATTAAGTTTTTTTTTGCTAAATGCATGTTTAAAGCTTTGAGGCATGGCATAGCATAGAAACTCTGTTTCTATTCGTTGCTAAAAAGACAATTACTATGGGGACCACAGAGTATGTATTGCAGTAGAGGTTAATTATGCGGCGTGATGGGTTTCTGGGAAAGTTATGATGCTTTGCACCAAAGGTTGGGAAGCTTTGCAATTCGGTTCATCCAGAGGGAAATATAAAATTTTACAGCGGTGTTCCTGGTCCCGAGAGGATCAACTCAACACTTGAAATTTGTTACTTATCCTTTTATCCATCAATTATTCATCAACAGTTTCTGACCAAACATTTAAATAAAAAGAAAATCAATGCTATCTGATTCATAAATTTCTGCAGATTTCAGATGAAGATGATACTAAACTGCACAGTGCTTCTGTTATAACAGCATGACTTTGCAGCCTGGATGATGAACAGGCTTGACTGCCTTCCAGACTTCTCACCATCTAAAAGCATTTAGTGCTTTAGTAAACCAAAAATACTGCAAAGAAGACCCCCAGGGCTGTTGAGCAGCTAGATGTGATATGAAACAAGAGCAGGACAACATTCCTCTCCCTAAAGTTGGTCACATCAGTTCCCACATGTTTAGAGACTGTAGTTAAAAGAAGAAGGGATGCTACAGAGTGGTAAACATGGCCCATCCACAACCTTTTTGAGGCACGTTGATAACCTTCAAATCCAAAATTACCTTTTTTGTGCTCAACTGTGAATAAAAACATCACCAAATCACTGCACTATCCGGTCGTTAAGTCTGACGTCACTAGCCGTGTCTGGGCCTAAACTCC